TTTTGCAGATCTTCCAATGCACCATTGTTGCTACTTTGTCATGCCGCTGCTTGTAATCAGTTTGTGCAATCTTCTTGCAACAGCTTACCAAGTGGTCCACTGTTTCTTCAGCTTCTTTGCATAGGCGGCACTTACTGTCTGTTGCTGTCTTCTCAATTTTGACTTTGTATGCATTTGTCCTTAAGGCTTGGTCTTGTGCAGCCAGAATTAGTCCCTCGGTCTCTTTCTTCAATTTTCCTGCTCTTATTAGCCATTGCCAGGTTTTATTATTATCTGCTTTCCCAGCTATTTTTTTCATGTATTGGCCATGTAGTGCTTTGTCTTCCCATGCCTCTATTCTGTTCTTCATTTGGTCTTTCTTGTAGGCCAGTTTGGTCTCTCCAGTAGTTAGTAAGCCTTCCTGATATACTAATTTCAGTGCATCTTCATCATTGTTCTTCAGATATTCTTCCAAAGCCATTTTTTCTTCTTCAACCATCTGATGTACTTGTAGCATTCCACGCCCACCTATTTGCCTTGGTAGATAAAGTCTATCAATGTCACTGCGTGGATGAAGGGCATGATTCATTGTCATTATTTTTCTGGTCTGCCTATCCATTGCTTTTAGTTCTGCTTGAGTCCAGTCCACTATTCCAGCTGTGTACCTAATGACTGGGATTGCCCAGGTGTTGATTGCCTTTATGGTATTTCCTCCATTGAGTTTGGATTTTAAGATCTTCTTCACTCTCTTGATGTATTCACCTCTAATCTTTTTCTTGACTTCAGTGTGCTTGATGTTGTCAGCTTGAAGGATACCCAAGTATTTGTAGTACTCTTCCTCATCCAGACTCTTAATGTTATTTTCGTGGGGCATCTTGATTCCTTCAGTTTTCATTATTTTTCCTTGTTTGATAGTAAGTGTGGCACATTTGTCCAAGCCAAACTCCATTACAATATCTTGGCTATATATACGGACAGTGTTGAGCAGCGATTCTATTTCAGATGATGTTTTTCCATACAGCTTCAGATCATCCATATAAAGGAGGTGGGATAGTCTGGCAGATGTTTTTGATGTTTGATAGCCATGTCCTGAGTTATTCAGTATTGTTGACAGAGGAAACAGTGCAATAACAAATAGTAATGGTGATAATGAATCTCCTTGAAATATTCCTCTCTTGATATTAACCTCTCCCAGCCTCTCACCATTGATCTGCAACTGTGTCTTCCATTGTGCCATCGATCTTTGCACAAATTTTCTGATGTTTCTACTGACTCCTGTTATTTCTAGGCACTTTATTATCCAATCATGTGGCAGAGAGTCAAATGCCTTTTTGTAGTCAATCCATGCCACATTCAGGTTGGTCTTCCTTCTCTTGCAGTTTTCCAAGATCATTTTGTCTATTAGGAGTTGATCTTTTGTTCCTCTGCTATTGGGGCGGTTTCCTTTCTGCTCAGGTGGAAAGAGATTGTTTTCAACTAGATGCTGTTGTACTGCATCAGCTACCACACCAGTTAGTAATTTGAAAGTTGTTGGTAAGCAGGTAATTGGCCTGTAGTTACCTGGTGTTGCCCCTTTTGCTGGATTTTTCATTATTAGGTAGGTTTTCCCAGTTGTTAGCCACTTTTCAATTTCTCCTCCTTGTAGTATATTGTTGAACTGTTTGGCAATGAGTGGGTGTATAACAGTTAGATGTTTCAACCAAAACCCATGCAGTTCATCTTCACCTGGTGCTGACCAATTTTTGATTTTCTTTGCTCTTTTTTCTACCATTTTTGTTGTTATTACTAGTTCTTTCATTTCAACTTCTGTTTTATTTGCATCCACCTCTTTTAACCAAGCCGCATCCTTGTTGTATTTCTTTGGGTTATCCCATATCTGCTTCCAGAACTGCACTGTTTCTTCCTTGTCAGGTACTGACTGATTCCTTGCAGTTTCTCCATTGATGGATTGGTAGAAACGTTTCTGATTGGATTGAAATTGGAGGTTCTGCCTATAGTTTGCAATTATTATTATTATTATTATTATTATCGATCATCGCACAGTCAGCCAGATGTTCAGACTGGATTTGGCATTTTGTCTACCTATCGAGTCCTTACCCAGGACCTGGGATAGGCAGATGTGGATGTTTGATGGTATTACAGATATCGTCGCAGGATGGAAGCAGTTCCTAATAAGGCTGCCTTTTGCAATTGACTAATAGCGAATTTGTCAATGCCAATGGTGTTCAAGTGGTGCTCCAGTTGTTTTGGGATTGCACCCAAGGAGCCTATGACTATTGGTACTACCCTTGCTTGCTTTTGCCACAGTCTTTCTATTTCTATTTGTAGGTCTTTGTATTTTGTTATCTTCTCCAGTTCTTTCTCTTCTATTCTGCTATCTCCAGGCACTGCCACGTCCACTATCCAGACTTTTTTGTCTTTCTTATCGACAATTGTTAAGTCTGGGGTGTTATGTTGCAGGTGCTTGTCTGTTTGAATTCTGAAGTCCCAGAGCAGTTTAATTTTATCATTTTCTATGACTTTCTCTATTTTATGATCCCACCAGTTTTTGCTTACAGGCAAATGATATTTTTTGCAGATCTTCCAATGCACCATTGTTGCTACTTTGTCATGCCGCTGCTTGTAATCAGTTTGTGCAATCTTCTTGCAACAGCTTACCAAGTGGTCCACTGTTTCTTCAGCTTCTTTGCATAGGCGGCACTTACTGTCTGTTGCTGTCTTCTCAATTTTGACTTTGTATGCATTTGTCCTTAAGGCTTGGTCTTGTGCAGCCAGAATTATTATTATTATTATTATTATTATTATTATTATTATTATTATTATTATGTTTTAAGGATCTTTAAATATGCTTTAAATATTTCTATTTGGTACAAGGCATTAAGTGTGTTTTCTTGGATTCAGAATTTTAAAATGTAATTATTTTAAATTTGAGGCATTTTCCTACAAATGAGGTTCATGATTAAGATGATGGCCCCTCATGAAAATTCCAAATACCAGAATCTATTGTAATGAAGAAGGTGAAGCTTAGTACATTATTTTGTGAAAAGTGTTAAAATGTTATCAGTTTCTATACTTTGAATATTAATTTACAAGAGGGACTTAAAAACAAAATCAAGATAATATGTCAGAAGTCTAGAAACTAGTTTTGTCCTGCCTTAGGCATAAGAACCGACTAGGTGACTTTAGGACAAACACTCTCTCTAAACCCAGGCCACCTCACAGGGTTCCTGTTGTGGAGAAAATAAGAGGAAAAAAGAATTCACCAACTTTCATTATTTTAAAATTGATGAAGGTGGGATAAAAATAAAAATATTTATAAATATTTATAATCTTTAAAATTATAAATATTTACAAATATTTTTATTTTTTATTTATTTTTTTAATTTGAATTTTAAATTGGAATTTTAAAAAAATCCCAATCTCTTAAATTATAAATATTTGTAAATATTTTTATTTTTAATTTTTATTTACTTTATTTTTAATCCCACCTTTAATATTTAAATAATATTTTTTTTAAAAAAAAATCTACCTTTCAGATGAAGGTTCAGTTCTGGCTCTTAGCAAATAACATTAATTTATTAATAATGAGAATACTTATTACAAAAAGAATAAAGAATTCAGGCATTTCACATTATCACGTTTTTCTCTAAATTCTACAACTGATTTCTTTACTGAAGCGGAATAAATGGAATAGAGCATACAATGAATTCCACTGATTCAAATTACTGATCAGAGGAAACTTTTTTAATTTCTCCCACCAAAATTTTCTTTTTAACTATTTTCTTTTGATTATTAATTATTGACTTTATGTGTTTAAATACATAAAATCAATAGTTAATAGTCAAAAGAAAATATTTAAACACTTTATTTAAACCTTTTAAATATAGAATCATTTAACAATGTGATTCCTTATCTGCATCAGAAATTAAATAAAATTTAATTTTATTAAATTTAATAAAATTTTATTTCACCAGCAATATATAAATATGCATAGAAAATAAAATGTGGATGTGTGAGTGTGAAAGTTGTAATATACAAACTCTTGTAAAAAAGACTACAGAGATAGAATAGAATAGAGCTGGAAAGAACTTTGGAGGTCTTCTAGTCCAGCCGTCCACTCAAGCTGGAGAACCTATTCCCTCTCAAATAAGTGACTGTCTAGTCTCTTCTTAAAAACCTCCAGAGATGGAGCACCCATGATTTCTAAAGGCAAGCTGTTCCATTGGTTAATTGACCTCACTGTTAGGAAGTTTCTCCTTAATTCCATGTTGCCTTTCTCTTTGATCAGTTTCCAACCATTGTTTCTTGTCCTGCCCTCTGGTGCTTTGGAGAATAATTTGACTTTCTCTTCTTTGTGACAGCCTCTCAAATACTGGAATATTGCTATCATGTCATAATTCACATTACAATTATTAGCATTGTTTTCAAAATAAAGTAACCAAGATAAATTTATACACATTTATACAAACAAAGCTAAACAGATACTCCTTTATTTCTTCAGTGAACTACAAAAAGGAAATTGTACTAGGCAGTGGTGGGATTCAAATATTTGAACAACTGATTCTCTGTGTGGATGCCGCTTCCGGAAGTCCATTCTGGGCCTGGGCAACAAAAATTAGCTAATGGTTCTGCTGAACTGGTACGAACTGGGTGAATTCCACCACTGGTACTAGAGCCATGCAATTTAGAAGGGGGTTGTTAAGTGTGTTTCTACACATCTCTTAGAGACGGAGTTTTCTCACTGGCACAGAAAGCAAGCCAGATATTTTTCCACATGGAAAATGTTTAGAAGACATTTCAAATTACTCTGTAAGTAAAGGCATCCCATTTAATTTTCTTCCCTTACAATCTGGGATATGTTTTCACGCACTTGTATATTCTAAATCGACTTATATGATTTTCATTACCTCTTGAGATGGTGTGCAGCCCTTCTGCTTTTTACAGGTTGACATTCAGGATGCATATCACTCATAGTTCTTTCTTATGTTTATTTTAGAAACAATGAAGAAGCCTGGGAGTCCTACCTCATCCCAAGACAATATATCTTATACTTCAGATTTCATGTATTTTGATGAAAATGATGCAGAATTAACACCCAAAGACAGTGAGAAAGACAAAAAGAGGGAGAAGAAACACATCAGTTTTACTTTATGCAAAGTATGCAACATTCAACTGAATTCTGCTGCTCAGGCACAAATCCATTATCATGGGAAATCACATCAGAAAAGATTAAAACAGCTGAGCAAAGGAAACCTAAAAAACAGTTTTGGTGAGCTTTTAAGTATATTCCGTTGTGTTTAAATCTATAAGGTATAACTTTTCCGTAGTCTACTTTTGGGAAGAGAATAGTCTGATGTCTTGACTTGATTACTTATCAGTGTAATGCAAAGTAATGTACTGAATTGGAAAAAAATGGTTCTATTATTGGTAAATGATTAATATTTTATTTTTCAGACAATAAAAATTAGAGTGTCAATGATTTTTTATTATAATAGAAGGAGTTTATATATTTTTTTTCACTGATTTTGCTTGGAGTTATGAAATTTGGAAAAGGATTTGGGAATTTCTTACCTTTTTACATCTGAACAACACCACAACCATACAGTTGAAGTGAGACTCTTGTTTGAAAACTATCTAGAAGTTTAAGTGTGCTTTTCCTCTTCCTTGTAATGGTTCAGTGTATAAGGGAGGAGTAAGTTTGAGCCACTTCAAATGTTATCTGGATGTCTGACCTTAAAATATGGACTTAAAACAATCCTTACTGTCCATATCTGTCTTACAGGTTTATTTTCTTTACTCTTTACATCACTGAAAGCACTACTATTCCTAAATTTCAGTTTTAAAAAGTTTGCTTATGATATGCTTGTCCCAATGTTTGGAAATCTGCAGTTTCTGGTCTCTAACGTAAAAGCATCTGTCCGTTCCACAACTGACATCAAGGAAGCAAATTTGATGAAATATTCCTTCTGAGTTGTTTCCTGAAACCAGCAGTTTTTAAGTCACCCTGAAAATACTCAGTGAATTTTTAAAATGTGTAATACTGTCCGGTTTGATAAATGATAATTTCTTTTACCTGCAAACTTGCAATGTTAACTGTGCTTAGAAAGCAGTATTACGAAAAACAATGAATGCTGAATGTGACTTTCTTTTTTAAAATATAGGTATTGTTATATTCAAGATCTTTGCAGAAGACAGCCTGATCTTTAGTTTAAAATTGAAACAGCTGAGTATTTGGGATAGTTCTAGCTCAGATATTAAGTCTGGTTGTTCTAATTGTTTGATAATTAGAAATTTTATAGTGGCAGATGTGCATCTTTTGGAGAAATGTGTATAAGCAATGCATTTAAATCCAAGAATAAAAATGATCTGCTCTTAGCATAAATTATAATTTAGCAAATGAGACAGAAAAAGCAAAATATCATACTGCTTGTTTGGGAAATGTGCATTGAACAACACACACACATACACAGAAAGAGAGAGGGGGGGGGATTTTCCTATCTATTGTCTATAACTTTGCAACTTTGAAATTTATAACTAATTTGAACCATCTTAATTTCAGCAAACTCTAGCACACATTTATTTTTACTTTATCTTTCATATTTATAGAGCTTTTATAAGAAGAAAAATGTTACTAGGTATATAGGCATGCTTCCGTGCATCTTGATGTGACAGTATAATAAAATTCATTAAAATGGAAATTCCTTAAGTATAATTAGTTCATGATATCTGCCTCAACTCTCTATAATTTGGAGAACATGACACTTGCAGTGATAATAATGTTCTTTTCTACTAATGATTTTCAAAATGCTCTTTCTTTCTAGTAAGGGTGCAGTAGACCCATATTGTGCAGGTGGTACAAATACCTTTATACCTGTTTTTCTGCTCTAATTTTCCTTTTCTACCTTGATTGAAAATTCCTTGTCCATGTGTATATCCAATACAATGCCCATAAAATAAATAACCCTGAGTTTAACTTCAAGCCCAGTTTATTTCAAATATATATAGATGAGTAGAGAATCAGAGGCTTGTTTAAACTCTGATGAGGGACGCGTGATACAAGTACATGAGTCACTCAATCATGCAGCAATTACAATGAATGCTATGATTGGCTGACCTGGACCTATTACACGATCCAGGAGTCGAGTGCAGGTGTTAACTTACATATAAATGTTTACTCATTGATTTATGTACGCTCTGATGAAGTTGTCAGGAGCCAACGAAAGCTAGGTTGCTAATTTTTAAAACTTTTAATGTTTTTATTTAAAACTTCTGTTTTATATTAAAACTTTTAATGTTTTGACTTTTCCTGGTGATCATATTTTGTTCTCACCATGTACACACCCAGGAATCATGCTTCTATTTTTAATATTCTTATATATGTTGGTAGCATGACCTTTGATACTTTCATTACTAGATAGGATAAGAAAAAATAAAATCCACATCACATGGATTCCTTCTATAAATAACAGAGCAATTTGGCAGGATTGATAAATGAAGGACTTTTGAAGAGTATTTTTTAGGCTAATATCTGTGTCTTAGGGATATCATCACTCTATGAAAATGAAACAATAATTGAAAGAAAGCTTTGCATACATGAATATATATTTATAAATATACATGAATTGTGACTTTACAATGAAATAAGTAAGTATTTTGTTTCTGCTAAACATTAGTTTCTTATTATTGCTTTGCTTCAGTGGTTTGTAGCAACTGAATGCTCTGCACTCACTCTCTAAAGCTCCGGGCCTTCATATTTTATTAAAACATTTTAGTGTTGATTATTTTGACTTTGGAACATACAAGGTGATGAGCATTTCTGTTTAGATTGTTTCATTTTACTGGAAAAACAATTTGTGTCTGCAGCTCATGAGAAATATTGAGGGTAGATTTTTAGGTAATGCGTTTATACATTTGCAGCAAATATTTCTTGCTAAAAACTTAATAAATTCAGTTTTACATCGAGGGAAACATTTTCTTGAGACTTGCTGGTGCAGCTAGGTCTTATACATAACATAACATAAACTCAATTATGATAAAGCCCACCTTAGCATAGGAGTGGGACAAGAAGAGTCCACAATGTCATGCAGAAAAGTTCTCCAAATGTAATTCATAGCCAACGAAATCTATAACATGGCTTCTCTGCTAGATTATTGGGGTGGATTGATGAAATCCAGGAGAGGCAGTGCCTAAAGTAAGCCAGTCCTAGGCCATGAAGGGCTTTAAAAATCAACAGCAGCCTAAATTGAACTCAGAAGGATATTGGTAACCAATGCAGTTTGTAAAGCATTGGTTTAATGTGTCTTCTATCACAGACAGACATAATTGTTCGCACATCTGCATTTTGCACTGGTTGAGGTTTCTGGATAGTGTTAATTTTTACTTTTTTCTGTATTGCCTGGTGTAGAATTGAGGAGGTTTAGAATATGTGGTTTAGAAGGAACAATTTTATACTTCAAAATCTGTTATTTAAGTTTTCACTGAGAAAGATGAAAATATGTCATCTTATGATGTTTATTCTGTTTACCTTTAGGTCCATGAAAGAAATGTAATTGTGTATAATTTCCTATTTATGAACTACTAAGTATAGTCATAGCCAGCTTTTTGAATCCCTTAAAACCCTGCCCAAAATGTGGCATTTTAGAATCCAAGATTTTAATAAAAAGTTTTTGTAAAATATAGGGTGACCTTAACATTGTGGAATTTGGAATATGAACTCTTGAACTGAAACTGTTAACAGTTAAGCCAAGCATGTTCCTTTCTTCTTTCAAGTCAAATAAAGATTTGTTTGTAATAGCATTAGTTGCACGTACCAATAATGAGTAAGAAATTTTTATTTGACTTTTTCCTAAACTTTCTATTTTTTTAAAAAAGAATCATTATTGTTGAGTCCTTGGTGTAAAGCAGACACGAGAAGCAGTTGTAGTTCTCAGGTTTTCTTTTATTCTGTGTTCAGCTTACAGGTGAAGGCTTCAGCAACGCCCAAAAGCTCCCAGCTTCTTATATAGGCAATTCCTGGATCAATGTGTTACTTTTCCTGCGCCCGCACCTGCGCATGTGCACAGGCGCTGGCGACAGCCTGTCTGGTCCCGGGCAGCTTGCACCTGCCCGGGACTGCCTGCAAACGCCCTGAGCCCGTTTGCAAGGCTCGGGACATAACACCCCTTTCCCCCGGGCTAAGACTACTACCAACATACAATTGTTTCTTGATGCAGTGTTCTATTCCCCAGTGCTTCTACTGTTTACTGGTTTTTGTTTAGCCAGCCATGTTATGTAATCCTCTAAGTACTTAGGAGATTTCCTTGCTCTCTGTGACCTTCTCAGCTCTGGGTTTCGGACAGGTGTTCCCTGACTGAGGGGAGACGTGAGCCTGTTCTCCTTATCATGCCTTGGTGCCTTCCAAGGACTGTGCCCCAATGCCTGGCCTGCTTGCTTGCCCACCGGGCTCGTCAGGCCAGGGCTTCTGTCACTTTGTGATCTGGTTGACCCGCCTAGCTGTAGGCCCTCGGGCCCCTTCAAGTGATAGCCACTGCTGGGCGTCTCTGTAGAACCTCCTAGGTCCATCCAAGACCTGTCAGGAGGCTGTCCATCCCCTAAGCCCCGTTCTGTGTCAGGGCTTGTGTGGGTTTCTGTGCCTTCCCAAAACTCAGTTGCTCCCTGATTTGGGCTAGAGGTGTTATGGTTGGGACTTGGTTCCTCGACCACCTCACTGTATATTTGACCCTCTGTAGGACTTGGGGTAAGGTCAGGCCAACTCTGGGGATTTTGTGCCAGCTCTCTTGTGGGTATGCTTTATTGGGACGCTCCCAGGTATCCTCCCTGACTGGAGTGCTGTGTGGTGTAGATGGATAGTGATTGTGCCCCCGGGGTGACTCCCTGGCTGGAGTAGGCATGAATGCCTGATGATTGGGTAAGCCCCATGAATTCCTGTTTGGGGCACTCGCGGAATCTTGAAATGGGCCGTTTGTGGCTCCATCATTGGAGGTGGGCAGCAGCTCGTGACCTTCCCTTTGCTCCAAAGGGTCCCCCTCCCCCTGGAAAAGACCCAGGAGTCTCAGCTGGAAGACCCCGCCTAGGGCAGAGTTGGTCGATGTGCCGGCGCAGGACACGACCGTTGTCCAGGGCTACCTCGTAGGATAGAGGACCTGTGACCCTGGAAATAGAAGTGGGGACTCATGTATGACCAGGCCCGTAATTGCGAGTCCAAACCGGGGCACCCACAAGTAGTTGTTTAGGTGCCCTAGGATGTGAGGTAGATGAAGGCAGCCTGTC